CTTCATCTCTGATTGGCTGGAATTATGGCACATTGTAACGCTGGGTTGTGTTGAGCGAGCGAGCTGTTGGCATTTAGAGAGCACTGAGGGCTGGCAGTTAAATGCAAAATTGATTTTCGTGTGTTCGAAATACTTTTTTCTTTGCGAAACGAACGTTTTCTCCACAAAACTCAGAACGCGCGCGTGCAAAATGCACTTTTGTGCGCTCAAAATATGATCTTTCGAGCGCAGAATTGTGGCAGAGATCTAAGCCTATAGAAATGCACCTTAAGCTGGTTTGCCAACCGCCATTAAACACAAAAGAAGAAGAAGACCACACACCACTCAAAGAAGAACGAGGAGCGTCTCGCTGCAGTCTGCGGACGGTGGACATCCAACCCGGCCCACATCCAAGTGTGACGTCACATTCTCATTCATTTTGAAACAGGAAGAAGCATCGATAAGAAGATAATTCGCATTGTTTGCCAACCGCTAAAAATGAAGCTGTTGTTTGCTGTGTCAGTAAGTAAAAACAATATCTTTGGTCTTTACCAAGACTTAAAATGTTGACAACTTAATGTGTGCATCGTTTGTGTGCATGTGCATACAAACAGTTTGGCACGCTTAGTATGTTTTGAACTTCACACAGGCACGTTATTACTTAGCTAGCAACAAATAGACATATATATATATATATATATATATATATATTTATGTGTGTGTGTGTATCAATCAGAAGCAAGGGAGGCAGTGCCTTCTCAAAGTATTGGATGAGAAAAAATTTGTAGTACAAAATATCTATCTCTGTATTCGTGTGTGTGTGTGTGTATATACATGCATGCGCGCATAATACATTATTTTGTCATTTTATAATCTGAGCTCAAATATGGAAGTGTGCTTAATGGGTACGTGAGCTTAATAGATACGTTTACCCTACCCCCAACACGTATGTATTCTCTATTTTTAACAGGAGCGCCAAGAGGACATAAAGTGGAAGTTTGTAAGGGACATTGGTCCAGCGTGGTACAGAGTCATCGTGGGTTATTCTGTGGGGAGGTGACAGGGCCTGCCTTTCTCCAGATGGACAGTAAAAATCAACAATGTCATCAAAGACTACCTGGGGCGAGAATCGGATGATCTATTAGAGCAAGGAAATTGCATCCTTGCTAAATAAAAGTATTAATTTCTATAATCCCCCCCCTAATATATACAGTGCTGTGAAAAGGTTTTTGCCCCCTTCCTGTTGTTTTATTTTTTTGCATATTTGTCACACTTAAAAGATTCAGATCATCAAACAAATTTTGATATTACACGAAGATAATGCAAGCCTTTGTGTTCTTTTTGGTCAGCAATGGCTTTTGCCTTGGAACTCTCCCATGGATGCCGTTTTTGCCCAGTCTCTTTCTTATTGTTGAATCATGAACACTGACCTTAATTGAGTTATCTTTGTGTAATATTAAAATTTGTTCGATGATCTGAATCTTTTAAGTGTGACAAATATGCAAAAAATAAAAAAAAACAGGAAGGGGGCAAAAACCTTTTCACAGCATTGTGTATATATATATATATATATATATATATACTGATTCCAAGCTTTGGAATGGTATAATGTATAATGTTACAAAAGCTTTTAACAATAACAATTATTACATTATTAACAATGTTACTGTTTTTGCTGTATTTTGGATCAAATAAATGCAGGCTTGGTGAGCAGAAGAGACTTCTTTAAAAAACAATAAAAATCTTACTGTTCAAAAACTTTTGACTGGTAGTGTATATTTTTTGTAAAATTTTACATTTAATTATTTTTGTAAAATAATAAATATAAAAATACCCAATGAAACAATGGATGTCTTTTTTATTCATCTTTAAGTATGTGGAGGACCTGGACACATTTCATATCAAGTTGTGATGAACAAGGCCTGAAGGTCAATGTCATGTTACTTACGTAATCTATCAATGCAAGCAATCTTTATTCAGCCTATGTGTGTGTAGCCTACTGCATATGGAGAACTTGATTTTGTCATTCAAATGTTAACACTTTATGATAAGTGGAATAGATCTTTAGAAAATTAAATGACAGTTATACAACACCAACTTTTACAATAATTTTACATACTTTTACAATGCCAAAATCTAATTGTCCCCTTTAAATTTGATACATTTCAATTTGCCTTGGGTAGGTCAAAATCGATCGTAATAAATGTGAATTTATCTCATCACATAAATGAACACGGTAAGGTTTCATAGTTTTAATTAACAATTAGCCTACATTACTCACACTAGGCACTAGCCCGATTGCGATTATCCCCACTCCCCCGCAAGTGCACTCACACTTGGGAACTTTTTTTTTTTTTTTTTTTTACATTTGTGAATAAAGAATTTTAATATAAAAAGTAAACAATTTACAACAAAGTCTACAGTTTTGTCCACCAAATGCACTCCAAATTTCACCATGTGCCAAGTAATAGATACTCTTTGTTTTATCCAATTACCTACTTCAGTCCAAAATGAATTAACCAAATTACAATAAAGAAATAAATGTTCAACAGTTTCTACATCATCATTAGTATTGGCCACGTTCACACAGCAGCAGAATACGGTTGTATTTGAGTCCTTCTTATTAATGCTTTATTAATTAAATGCCACAAGAACACGAGGTATTAAATATTCACATTATCAAATTCACATTATTAGCTGCCAGAGAAAAAAAGGAAGAAAATTGCATAAAGTTTTCATGGCATTACTCACACTTGCTCTAAACATTCCGGGCCGGAGCACGCTTACGTCGTGAGATAACGGAGAAAACTACTTTCGCTAATATTCTGCCGAATAATTAATTTATAATTTATGCCGTGCATTGATTTTCACTTGTATGTGTCAGAAAATTATTACGGAGGCAGCTGACGTTAATGAAATCATTTGCAGCTTTCTTGCAAACTACATTTCCTGTTAATCAATAAGGTACGAACCAGAGCCATTATAAACCTAAATATACTTGATTAAATTAAATTAATTGAAAAGTGTAGTGTAGTAGTAGAAATAGAATATGTTTATGCCGCGGTCGTAATGATGACAGTAGCGCACACAAAATAGTATCTGTTCCGTGCTCCGGCGCGGTTAGCGCTCACACTGCGTGCGTACCGCGCCCGAGCCCAACCGAACCGTGCCCTGGCCCACCTCTTCCAACCGGGCCAGGGCCGGCTAAACGAACCGCGCCCGAGCGCGGCACGGAGCGCTCACACTAGTCAAACGAACCGGGCTTTGGGGGTCAAACGCGCTCGGGCACGGTTCAAAACGCCTAGTGTGAGTACACCCTGATCAATGCAAGCGTTTTAGGGGCTTATGATGACGAAATCAGCTCCGTATATTAGACATATTAAATATTAGATTTAAGTTGTGCCATTTTAACCCTTGACATCCTTTACAAAAATAAGAAAACTTTTATTAGTAAAACGCAGGACAATATTATTTTATTCAGATCCCCAAAACTTCCATAAATTGCTTGGACATACTTCCGGGTTTGGGATAGGGAAATCACAAGATGACGTTATTAATATGGGCGTGGCTTCGACGTCACACTCGGACGTGGGCGGGGTTGTATCGGGATGGGCGTGACTTCTGACGTCACACGTGGATGTGGGCGGGGTTGGCTGTCCACCGCAGGCTGCAGCTAGCCCTACTTGAGCTATTGTTAAATACATTAAAGAAATAGGATTAATCAGGAGAATTTAGGAATGTGTGTGTTTTATATATTATATATATATATATATATTAGTTGCTTATAGGTTGTTTGCAATCACGTGATTCTGATGACGCGCGACATGCAGCTGGAGGGCAGGAAGTGATTTTTCTCCATAGAAATCACTAGCAGAAACTCAAAATGCCTGTGTTTTGCGTTGTTTATGGATGTTCAAAGTTTAAAAATCGCTCCTCTTTGTAACATAAGCACGTCCAACATGTTATGATTATCAATACCTTTCTCTTGTAATAGCGTGGTGGTTGATGAAGAGAGATCCCCTCATACGATTGTAAGGCGCGTTGGGTGTGCAGCAATTCAATGAAAGCGCTATATATATATAGCAGCCCAATCTATTTATATCTTTATAAATATACCACATACCCTGTACATGCAGCAACGTTTCAGGAGTGACATCTATCCCGCATCCCTCATATAAATACGGGATTCACTTTCGAAATAGTTTGTTTACAATCAGGGTTAGTTGCTTAGCCTATATCCATCGCCTTAATGGCAGGCAAGTATTTCAATTTAGTTTAAAAACCTTTATAACATAAGGATCACGTCCAACATGTTGTGAATATCAATACCTTTCTCTTGTAATAGCGTGGTGGTTGAAGAGAGATCCCCTTATACGATTGTATTCAAATTCTGAATCGATTATAGCCTAGAAAGCCAGCAAAGAGCGCTTCCATATAATCACTAACAAGCTGTCATTCACTTCAATTGATCACAATCTCACGATGTTCCTTTATAATCAGTGAAGCTTTCTGAACTGCAAATAATATCTTATTTACATCGTGTCTACGTGTGGCATTTAGCACTGAGTGAATTCTGAATGCATGAGAGGTGGCAGCCCAATCTATTTATATCTTTATTAATATCTTAATATATTATTATATCTTATATTAACCATTTGCACACACGAGCATTATCGGGCTCCGCTCCTCCCGACCGTTTACAAGACACTTTTTCCTGCGTTTTTCAGTCAATTTCTTGACTTTTCCCCACTTATGAACAACACATTTTCGTACACGATAAAAGCTCCTTGTGGGTTCTCGGTTTGGTCGATTTGAGCATCCATAAACAACGCAAAACACAGGCATGTTTCTGCTAGTGATTCCTGCGGAGAGAAAAATCACTTCCTGACCTCCGGCTGCATTTCGCGTCATCAGTGACGTCATGTGCAAACAACCTATTGCACCAGAAGTTGGTTTGCCATCCGCCGTAAAACGTTGTTAGAAGAAGAAGAAGAAGACGAAGAAGAAGAGCCCTACTTGAGAAGAACGAGAATGTCACATGACGGGAATGTGTAGCTCGCTGTAGTCAGCTATGCAACTGTGTGATCATGGCGGATCCGGGAGGAGTGTCACTGGAGTCATGGCTAAGTGAGTTGTTATGCTAATACATTAGTAGAATACGATTTAATTGTACTCTGTAACGGCTTTAAGACAAGCAGTCACATCCAGATGCTGTTTGTGACCAGTTGTTTTGTCATGGAGTCTCTGTGATATTTAGACTTACATGATGTCATGATGGTTAGACGGAATATAAACTGATCCTTCCTAGACTGCATTTTTAGGTGTGATAGGTGCGTTCCAATTCAGCAGAATATTTGGGTCGAACCGAACGTTCGAACGCGTCTATTATGCACCTAAATGTCTAGGTTACTTAGGCGGCTCACTAGGTTTTGAGACACAGACGCATTTGTGATTTGCAAGCTCATCTGTCATCTACCATTATTAAGCTCCTTTTGAACTGCTGTTGCCTAAAACAGTTTAACTGAACACTTCTTTATTATCTCTAAAACAGTTGCTTCAGTTTTATGTAGAAAACCAAACATGTTGTCTTAACCTTCATTGGCATGTTGTACAGTTAAATGTAATGTAAATAGTATACGAAATGTGAACAGTTTAATTAATGTAAACTTCAAAATAAACGTGGAATCATACACTGTGATTAGTGTTGCCTCTGTGACAAATGGCTTGCTTCTATCCTAAGTCTCTTGGGATGAAAACATATGCTAAATGCACAAATTTAGATTTATCATGACCTTATTTAATAATTTGGTAATTCAAATTTTTGGGAAACAAAAGTAAAGAATAAGAGTAACAACTGATAAGTAATGCTATTTAGTTTTTGTTTGAAAATTGTGATATTAGTGAGATTTTTCTTGTTAGACAAAGCCACCAATCCTTCCAACAAACAGGAGGAGTGGGAGTACATCACTGGGTTCTGCGACCAAATCAATAAAGAACTTGAGGGGTATGTTTACCTTGTATAACTGGTATATGAAACTAATACATGAGGACACTATGTTTGTGTTTCCTCTCGTGAATCAAGTGAGAATTTTGTCTGTATCTTACAGCCCACAGATCTCGGTCAGATTATTAGCACATAAAATCCAGTCGCCTCAAGACCGGGAATCATTACAAGCACTAACTGTGAGTTTATCTCCTTCCGTCTCTTAAATTAAACAAAAATATATATTTTTTAATAAAATGACTAACTAAATTCAGATCTTAATTAGGTTTTAGAAGCTTGCATGAAGAACTGTGGGAGAAGATTTTATAATGAAGTTGGAAAATTTAGATTTTTAAATGAACTCATCAAAGTAGTTTCACCAAAGGTAATGACAATTTTGTCTTCATTTACTCATTTCAAACCTGTATGACTTTCTTGCTTTCATTTTGCTTGCTTTTGCTTTTTTAAAAGTAAACTAACCATTTAATACAGAAAAATCAACACATGAAATGTTTTAATGTCTCTATAATGTAACTTATATACCTTATATGATCTTATTTATGCTTTTTATCCTACAGTATTTGGGAGACAGAGTATCTGAACAAGTGAAGACTAAAGTAATAGAGTTGCTTTACAGCTGGTCAGTTGCGTTACCCGATGAGGCAAAGATCATAGAGGCCTATCAAATGCTAAAGAAGCAAGGTTCTTTCATCACAAATATAAACATTTACTTTTATAGGAATATCACCTACTTCATTTCTGTGTTCCAAATTTGCTAGCCTGTCTTGTTCAATCTTTACCACATTCTTTCTCAGGCATTGTAGCAGAAGACCCAGTGATTCCTGAGGACAAGACCCTCATTCCCTCGCCAAAGCCCAAGAATCCAGTGTTTGACAATAAGGAAAAGACCAAGGTGAAGAAGCACATTACAGTATCAGAGATTAAACGAATATTCCGGGTTCAGTACTATTAAAGCTTAATTAAATTGTGCCATTAAATTAGTTTCTTGCTTACAGTTTACAAAGCTACAATGGAACCTACAATTGAAGTGATACAACTTCACTGGAATTGAATAACATAAATGCTAAAATAATTGCTGTTTCAAATGTGTAGCCACAGTGTGTTAAAATGATTTTAGTCTGACAAAATTATTTACTAACCTGTTCAGGGAGGAGCTACGTCCAATTTTACCATTTTGTTGCTTTGACAACTTAAGGCCATAAAAATAATAAAAAATGGTTTTAGCTCAAATTTCAACAGAAAAGTCAATGCGAGTGCTTTTATGAAATAAAATGCCTTAAGCCCCGTTCACATCAAGAACGATAACTATAAAGATAACTATAAAGATAAGGATATTAGCGTCCACACCAGCCAAGGATATCGTCTGTTTATTCTAAGCACACGTGCATCTGTCGCTTTAAACTCTTGAGCTCATCACAGCAGGATTGATTCTGATTGGCTGTCAGTGTTTTCATCGTTCATCAGCTGGAAAAACAATCGTTCTGAAAGTGATTACAACGATATCGTTTCTCTGTGCCTTTATCGTTATAGCTGTGGTGTGAACTCTGCTATGTTTTACTATTGAGTACGATTTTTAGAACTATATCTTTATTATCTTTATAGTTATCGTGCTTGGTGTGAACGGGCCTTTACAGTTCTACTTTTAACCTCTTGCTTAACTTGTACTGAGCCTGGAATATTGTTTTATGGGGAACTGTTTTGACCACAGTGTGAGCCAGTACATGTCTTGTAAAGTTTTAAACCATTGTCTTTAAAAAAATTAAAAATTGTCCCTGCAGCGTCTTGCAGAACTTCTTAAAAGTAAAAAGCCAGAGGATCTTCAAGAAGCCAACCGCATTATCAAAAACATGGTCAAAGAGGTGAGGATTATTGGATAATTTTATACTTATGTATTAGTATTACTAATTTAAGAGAATATATGTTAGGAAACAAATATTTTGGGGTCAGTGACAAGTAAGAAAATAATTTAAAAATCTAGTTCAAATTAGGGCTGGGCGATTTTCCCGATTTTATCGATTAAAGCCCCGTTCAGACTACACAATTTTTGTCAGTTACGACAGTCACTGTGTCAGATTATGTGATTTTGACTCATAAAATCTTGTCGTGTTATGAACAAGAAACATGTCAGACTATATGATGCTACCCGACCATTCATCGCATGCCGTCATTAACAACATGCGTGCTGTCATCAATAGCGCGGGACAAGACAGAAGGTGCTATGAGCGTAAGCAAACAATGGCTAGGAAACAGCTGTTTTGCCCTGTCTTGTCATCAGAAAAGCTCAAAAAAGAAAGAAACCCTGACAATGGACACAAATCTGGATGGCATGAAGAGGATGGTATTAGGGCTGCGCATCTTGTCAGTAAAGCCGGTTCTGTAATCAGCGGTAAATCTCCATCACCTGCGTGCTTTCACATTGAGCAGCATTAACTACACAGAGCCGTTGTTAACTGACGAGCTGCGCAAAAAATCGTGCGAATATGATCGTGGTTTTGCACAGCTCGTCAGTGAACAACGGCTCTGTGTAGTTAATGCTGCTCAATGCGAAAGCCCGCACGTGATGGAGATTTACCTCTGATTACAGAACCAGCTTTACTGACAAGATGAGCATTAAATATAGCATGCGATTTATCGTGCAGCCCTAGACGGTATGGACTGTCAACGAGAACGGAGGTAAAATAGTTTTTATTTTACCTTTTTTCACTGTGTTGCAGTAGTCCCTCATCATAAATGCAGGAGTATTGTTGCCGTAGCTCCACAAACATTTTCCTCTATTGTAAAGTTACACCTAGCAGGACCGATACCATTGTCTCCCTTTCGTTTCGGCATGTTAGAAAGCCTGTGCAAAGGCGCTTCTGTGCTCCTATTGGCCAGTGTCATAGCTGTGATGGAACTTGTCGTGCAGTTCGCAGAGGTGTAGTGCACTATGACACACTACACGAGATGAAACGATTGAATCGTGCGTCCCGACGCCCATTGTCGTATACGAATCCCCACGACACCCTACGTCAAGCAGATCGTGGCAAAATATTGTAGTCTGCATGGGGCTTAATTCGAATTTATTGTTTTGCCACGATTTTATTTTTTAGAAATTGAGGAATCGCGATTTTGAATAGAAATATTACCAAATGTTAGAATTAGTCACTTTGACAATATACCGTAAAAAACGTAAAGAGAAAAGAACGATCCAACCACATGTCGGCGCACGTGATTAACTGCTCACGTGTGATGCGCTCTGTGAAGGACCATAAATTTAGCGCTAGGCGTCATTCACACAGCGCTTTTGTTTTGACGAAGATGCGACTCGGACAGTGGAATAGGTAAAACATGCAAGAAGATGGGAGTGAACTTCTTTTAACTTGAGCGCAGTGTTTTTAGAATGGCATTTCATGCATGAGACACTGCAAGAGCACAACAGTCAAACACATCCATGTTTACACAGAAAAAACAATGGAAATTTGAGTGGTACAGGTAGGTGTTCACGGGAAATTCGAGCATGGCACTGCGTCATTACGTCACGTCTGTAAACATAAAGAAGTTGTCCCGGCTACTAGGCTATCGCATGTGAGGACCCTGCAGGTGGCCGATCGTTTATAGCCTTTTCTCACAACAGCCAGAATAATTAAATGTATCATTTTGATCCAGAAAGGATTATGTGTTTATGAATTCAGAAAGGATTATGTGTTTATGAAACACATGTGAATGAAATTAAATTATATTCCAGTTTTAAATGTGCTTCTGATTACAGATAGTCTGGGATTACACAAGATTTGTATTTTAAAGACAACCAGTTCGAAGGGAGCATAATTAACTTTTTGGGTAAAATAATTTCTTAATATGAAATTCGAATGGTATGACAATTAGAGATTAGACTGTGCAGAAACTGAAATCTACACACTAATACACACTATACTCATAGTCACGCAATGCTGATGTTGTTCAAGTATAACAATAATAATAATTTGCACCGTTTGATGTGATATCAGCTAACTGATCTTTAGATTAAATCACCATTGGTAGCGCGATTTATTGTAATGCTTTTTTCCTCAGTTGGTCAGAACAAACGTGGCAGACTTGTTACTTGTTCAGATGACGGTGAAAATTCTTATTTGGGTCATATATTCCAAGAGGTAGGCTAGAATCTGTGATTGCGTAGTACAGTAAATATCCACACCGGTGCGGTGACTGACTGCTACACACACTCCTCCTCAAAACATTAGATTCATCCGCGCTGGAGCTGTGCCGGTGCACGACCCATGCAAGTAAAATAATTCCGCACACAGCTGCAATTGCAGGTTTTCAAACAGAGATGGCGACAAAGAGGCAAAACTTATGGACTGCAGCTTTAATAAAAAGTCTACTGGTGTTATACCTTCAGTCATTTTGAATTTGAATTACCTTGACTTTTGAGATTTTCTAAAATAATTTTCCTCGTATTATTTCTGAACACATTATATGTATAAGACAAGTTTGTACAATATGTAGTTGTAGTTTTTGCATCTTTTCTGCAAAGATATTTAACAAGTGATTTGTTTAACATTTACATCATGTTGACAACTTCATGTGTGCTGCACTTGGAATAAAATTTTCTTTAACTAGAGGGTTAATAAAGAAAAAGTAACTTGAATCATGTTGTAGTTACATTTTCAAGTTGACTAGTTAAGAATCTGTCAAACATTCTGGGAAAATCAAGATTAACATTTTTTGCAAAATCGCCCAGCCCTAGTTCAAATCATATGGATCTGAAGAATGTTTACATCATTTCCAAGAAATAATAAATAAATTTAATGACTTGCATGTAAAAAGTAACGACATTTTTAATTTAGTCACTGAACAGACATTAGTGAACACATAATGTGTAATCATTGTTAAATGTTATTAAAATATAAATATACATTTAAATATAAATGTAACTGTGTTTGGGGGAGATGCACCCCATGACATATTCATAAAATACTTTCATAATATCATAATATCAAAATATTGAAATTTTAATAGACTTACTGACCCTGACACACAGCCATAATGGTCTGTTATATTTGTATTTTCGTTTTTTTTTTTCCTGCATACCGATTTTGTGATTTTTTTTTTATAATAATTAGTAGTTTTAATCCAATATACTTTTCTAAGAAATAATAATACAATATTATACCAAACTATACCAAAAGAAAAAAAAGATTTTTAATTCAGAAAACAACTTGCTCATTGTTTTTAAAAGCATGTTTAGTGTATTTTTAAATAAATTCACATTTGTCATCATTGATCATTTTGTTTACTCCCTTAATCGTTGTGCTTGAAAGAAGAATAGATTTGTCACATGGCTTATAGCCGTCTTGCTTTGCTTTCAGGATGTGGTTCTACAGCAGAAAGTTTCCCATCGTGTCAGCATCCTAGAGGAGGTGAACAACAGTGTAAAGCTCCTTAATGAAATGCTAAGTCATTTCAAAAGAGATGAGTCAACGCAAGAAGACAAAGAACTTCTAAAGGTAAGACACCTGAGTTTAGATGTGGTCCCTGCTACAATTAAATGTATCTGACCATGTGCAACTTGCTTTGTTCATAGGATCTGTATAATGACTGTGAAAAACTTAGAACTGCTGTCTTCAGACTTGCCACTGAGACAGATGATGATGACAGTGCCTTAGGTAATACACATCAGTAAGCAAAAACTCATTGAGGTCTTCAGCCGATAATATATTAGAAATAACTAAACGTCCACTCTTTTAGATGTGCTTTTCTATTTTTCTTTGGTGCAGGTGATATTTTGCACGCTAGTGATGATCTCTCACGAGTCATCAACTCCTATAAAAAGATTGTTGAAGGACAGACCATTATGATTGACTTGCCAGGATCAATTGCTTCAGAACGTATGTATAATGTACTAGAATTGTTACACTTCATTACTTAATGTATTAATTAAATTTTTTTGGTATCTGAATCATCCACAGAGCTTGCATGATTTATGAGACTACTGCCCTGAAAATGCAATTCAGTGTGAGTTCATGTTTTTAATTTGTTTAGGCACCACTGACAGAACCTCTTCTGAAATTTTGATTAATTTGGCTGATTTGGACTCTGGGACCCCTTCGCCCCTTAAACATGTTTTGACATCAACTCAGCACTCCGATTCTCTACCAGCTGACCTCCTTACACTTACTCCTTTAGTTGGAGCTCAGCCTTCCTCTTCCAACACGTCCTCTGGGTCAAGTTTCCAGATCAGTCCTCCACCAAGCCAGCTTCCCAGCAGTTTTTCTCTTCTAGATGACAAACTTGATTCATTAGGTAAAAATGGCTTTATAGAACTTTTGCAGTGTATAATTTATATTTTATTAATGTAATACATTACCGTTCAGAAGTTTGGTGTCAGTGAGATTTCCATTTCAAATAAATGCTGTTCTCCAAAATTTGTTCATCAAAAATCCTGATAACACTTCATAATATAAAAATGTAAACACTTTATAATATAAAATTTAAATTCAGAAATGAAAAGCATGTTCATTGTTTTTTTTTCTGTGATACAGCAGAAAACTTTATTAGAATACAGCAGAAGAATCATGTGACACTGAAGACTGTATGTAATAGCTGCTGAAAATTGAGCTTTGGCATTACAGAAAAAAATACAATTTAGAATGTTAAAATAGAAAACAGTATCTAGTTTACATTTATTTTACGAGTTTTATATAAGAATGAGTTTAAATTCAATAAGTATCAAACAGTCACCCAGGCTTCATTTTTTGGTTTAATACAGTCTTTAAAATGTTTAAAATGAACACTTCAAAATGACTACTTTTCAGACCTTACTAATCTGGACTCAAACTCAAGCAAGTCGGCAGAAAGGAATACAAAAGAAGCTCAAAGCAATCAGTGGATTTCTTCACAAGTAAGATTACAAGAGTGCTGGATATATAAGTTAAATATGCTTAGAAAATCTGTATCTTACGATATTTGATATGTACTTATACAATTATTATTATTATTTTGTGACAGACTTCCAAATCAGTGATTGAACTACTCTGCAGCTCTGCTCCCCTACATCCTCTCATCTCAACAGTGCCACCTGCCTCTGAAGCTACATCAATCTTTGAAGACTCCCTCCAGCAGAGCTGCAGAGATTTTGCCATGCTGGACTTGGACAAGGCTAGGTAGTGAGAGGATTAAATAAAATAAAGTAGAAGTAGTATTGATAAAAAAAAAAGAAAAAGCATTGGGGTTTTCAGAATCAGAAAGGTTCATTACACTTTATGAGCAACCATTTTCAACTATGATAATGATGATAAGAGGTTTCTTGAGCATAGCAATCAGCATATTAAAATGATTTCTGAAGGATGTGACATTGAAGACTGGAGTAATGGCTGGTCAAAATTCAGCTTTCTTATCACAGGAATAAATACATTTTGAAATATATTCTAGTGTGTTGGATTGATGTCATTGGTAAATGCAAGTTGTTCACAAATGAAGCAGTTTAATATTAGCATTCATACATGGAAGTAAATGGGCACAGCTTGCACATTGTATTATTAGAGCCTTTAATTATGAATCAAAGCTGGTGGTGCAATGCCTCATTTCTTTTAAACACAACTAATTGTTTGCTTTTTTCTGTATGAAGCAGCCAGTCCAATTATTCAAGCTTGGGTAGCAGAGAACTTAGAGCTGGGGAAGAGAACATCCATCCTGCATTAACCACATTGAGTTTGCCCGCTGGAATAACACCAGTCCCTTCTGCTTTAACCTCTGCCAAACCTCAGAGCTTTGCGCCAGACAGCCCTCTCTTCAGATCCCTCTCTCCAACCTGGCCCACCAGTCAGTCACCCTCAGGCTCGGATATCTCCCTGACCAGTGTCTTTGTCCAACTGGAGGCCATTAAACCAAGTAAGGCCAATAAATAAATGTGGATGCTGTTGATTAAAGGTTCGTTTTGTTCTGATATTAGAGAACTATATCAGGTATTCCAGATTAATTACTTGCCTGTTTGGCTTAGTACGGTGTGTTTTTTACTTTTATCTTTTCACAGGTAAGGAGGGTCCAGTGACAGCCTACGATAAGGACGGTGTTCGTGTGTTGTTGCACTTTGCTTCTGACCACCCGCTTGGTCGCCCTGATGTTCTGGTGATTGTGGTGTCAATGCTGAACACAGCACCTCTGTTGGTGAGGAACATAGTGCTTCAGGCTGCTGTGCCAAAGGTGAGAGGGAGCAGAATGTATTTTTTAATGTTTTACTGAAGGTTTAACAATAATAGTTTTCCATATATCATTTAACCCTTGTACGGTGTTCGGGTCTGTGGGACCCGTTTTCATTTTTTATCAAAAAATAAATAAATAAATGATACCTCTACACCCCCCACTGGACCCGGGGCTAATAAAAGTGTGGAATCTGTGTACCTTCACTCTGTCCTCCTCCTGTCTGGACCTGCTGTGTGTGTGTGTGTATGAGTTTTATGTTTCTGCCCCTGCCATTCCCGCACAAGGTTGTGGCGGTTTAATATGCTGTTTATATTACTTGTAATTGGGATGAAGTAAACATCTGTTGAGTATTTTAACATAACATTTTTGATTGCGTTGAATTAAAAACCCAAAAATGCAGCAGGTCCACCAGACCCACGAACATTGTCTGAATAACAAAAATATGAACACCACACAAGGGTTAAATTGATCCAAACAGTACACAGTTACTGTTTTGTAATAAACAAGCATTTTTACTCTATGGATTTTGCAGTTCTGAGTAGCTTTTGATTTCATGTTTGCAGTTCATTCATTTTTGACTTTTAGTTACCTGTCTACTTTGTGATTGACAGTCTATGAGAGTGAAGCTGCAGCCCCCTTCTGGAACAGAAATGGCCCCTTTTAACCCCTTCATGCCCCCCAGTTCCATCACTCAGATCATGCTGCTGGCTAACCCACTGAAGGTGAAGAAAGAAACACTTGTTTACTTTACTATGAAAATGCTATCATAAAACAAATTTCACAAATGAGGACATCCTCAAAATTGGTTTTGCTAGATTTAGCTTACTTCTGGGTGCAAATTTGTCCTCAAAAAGACACTTGTCTCAGCATTATCAAGACATTTATTAAAGAGAAGTAACTTAAAGGCACAATATGTAAGATTTTTTTATTAAAATATCCAAAAACCACTAGAACAGTGTTATATATTTTGCTGACTTAGTGTACTTACATTATCCCAAATATTTCGAAGAATGTTTAAATCCAGAGAAATAAGCAATTTTAACTAGTGACACAGACCGTGTCTATAGTGTCATTGTGTCGCCTGCCAATGACGTCATACACCCTCAATTTCCGGTTTTGTTTTGTAGAAAACGTGTTGCGAATCAGCTCATGGGGAAATATGAATAATTAATCATAACTAGTTATAATTAATTATAAATATTTAGATCCGCTGTAGATATTTACTTGACCTCTCAGGGTCAACTGTCTGTCAATTCTAAGAACGTTAATTCCCTGGTTAAGGGAAATAACTTTCATACTGTACAACTCTACACAGAGCTTGTAGCATAAATCTGCATGATTAGGGACTCCAGTTATGAGCAAACAATGAACAACGTCAACTCAGTCACGGCATCATCAAAATACGCCTTTGTTTCTTTGTTTGTTTTGAATACGCACTCTCTAGCGGTGAAAACTTACATATTGTACCTTTAATGTCACTGCATTTGTTTTATGTCTGTTCATACCTGTCAACATTTGGGTACCAAAATACGGGAAGGGGGGGCGGAGTAAAAAATAACCATTTTTATATTATATTATATTATTTTTATATTAATTTAAACAATTATTATCTAACAATTGTTCATTTAGTAACATAAATATATCTTAGTGTAGGCTATATCTTTAGAGTTTTATAATTCATTATCTTCTTGTCGATCCACCAGTTCACATTTACAACTGCGTGTTTTCTGCATAAAAATAAGGGTCGTTTTTGGCTTTGGTTTAAACAAAGAGCAAAAGGGCTTATTGAAAAATGCTAATTCATTCTCTGCCAGCAGGTGGCACATTTTGCCAGGAATATAGCCGTTTCCCTGGTAACTTCAGTAAACAAAGCAGCGCAGCACCTGACTTTGAAACTTGTAGCTCATATTTAATCAATTAAATAGCCTTTTGAAGTGTAAGCTATATCTCATTATACATGTAAATATACATTTAAATTTACATGTATATTTAGTTTTTTTTTCACTGGAGCACCACCTGAGTCTTCTCCTCCCATTTCTACCAGTGATCCTTGTTTCCTTGACGTGGTACTACCTGTGCACATATCAGCATCACTGGGCTGTAGGTTGCCAAGTTGAGGGGACAAATGGGTTGAAATTGGTATGCGTCGATCGTGTGAGAAAGATGCGTTTCATACAA